GGCCTCATTCTTTTGATTTTATTTTTCCTTGTGTTAAAGTTATTTTCTTTTCAATTTAACCCTTCAATTGAAAAAAATTGGTTGCCCTCTAATTTATTTTTATTTTCATCTTTATTCATTTAATTTTAATTTTTTTTATTTTATATCCTTTTATACAATTGAATTTTTTTTTCGATTGCATCATTCGGTGTTTGATTTGTTGGGGTTTGTACCTCATAATTCTTTTATTTTTAATGCTTCAGATCTAATGATTCGGGTTACATGTTTAACATGTTAGTAATGATTAACATTTATTTTTTTAATCATTCTACATTATTTTTTTTTAAATATTGGCTTGTGGTTATCTTCAATTTCTTTTCTAATGATTTATTATAGTCTCATGACCTAAGTCATTGGTTTTGCAGGCTTTTTTGCTATGTATTTTTTTTAAAAACAATTTGTATTTATTTTTTCAAAATATTATTCTGATTCTTTTATAAATTTTTTTTATATAAATGGATTTTATTTTAAAACATAATAATAAATACTTATTTTTAAATAATATTTCCAATATGTTCGATCTTGCATAATTTTTTTATTTTATTCAATTAAGTTATGTGTGTTTATATTTCTATTATTCTGTATTTTTTTAATAAACGCAATCAAATAAATATTTTATTTTGCAGGATCAAACATCTTAAACTATGTTCATGTTTTAATTTTTTTTAAATTTCTCTTTTATTTATTATTAACTATTGTTTTCATTTATTTATATAGATGGTTGTAGATTTAACTAATTAAATATTTATATGAACTTCTTTATATATATTAAAAAACATCAAAATACCTTTTATATCCATTTTTTCTTTAAAAAATATTTTACAACCCAAGACGGAACACATGTCAAATAACTAATTTTAAGTATGATGGTTAATATTCATAAGTGTAAATTGTATATCAATAATTATATATAAAAACCAAAACTTAAAAAAAAAAACAGTAATTGATTATTGTACATTTCATAACTTCTAAATTACTACATACTTAAGCACACTACTTTATAAATTCAACCTCACCTCTAATTAAAGAAAATGATCAATATTAATAAAATTCTTTGTACAAATTTATTAATTCCTAAAAATTTCTCAATTTATTTTTCCATTATTTTCTTATGTATACACAACTATAACCTTAAATAACCTTAAATGAAAAACATCCTTGTTAAGTTACACGTAACGTTATCATACAATATTGGTACTTTTTTTTCTTAATTATCATGATTTTTGTAATTTTAGAAACATGAAAATAAAAATAAATAATACTAAAATAAAAATAAAATTATATCAAAATTTATCAATGAAAGCATATAAATGAAATATAAATATAAAGAAACATGAAACATTAAGGAATATTCTAAAATAAATGGAGAAAGTATTGTAACTTTATGTATGTATTATTGTTGATTATTTTAATGTTTTTTTTCATAATTTTTTTATAAAATTATATTTGTTGATTTTATTTTTTTTAATATTGAGTTAATTAAGAATTTAAATTTTTAATTTTTTTTAAAATACTATAAATTGCTATAATATTTTCTTACATAATTTGTTTTGTTATGATTTTTTTTTAAATTATTTATCTATTTTTTTGGTTTTTTTTCCTAGATTTTTTTCATAAAATTATCTTTGTCAATTTTATTTTTTTAATATTGATCTAGTTAAGAATTTTGCTTTTGAATGTTTTTTTTTAAACACTATGAATTATTATAGTATTTCTCCACATAATTTATTTCGTTATAAGTTTTTTTTAAAATTATTGGTCAATTTTTTTTTAATATTGAGTTAGTTGTAAAATTACAGCTGCAACTTTTTTCACAAATATTCTATGTATTGCCACGGTGTTTCGCCACATAATTTGTTTTTATGATTTTGTTCAAAATTGTATTTTATTTTTTTAATATAGAGTTAATTGATAATATAGTTTTATAAATTTTTTCTTTAAAACATTGTGGAGTATTACAATGTTCCTTCATATTGGTTTTTTATTATTGTTTTTATTTTTTATAATTTTTTAAATTATATTTGTCAATTTTATTTTTTAATATCAAACTGATTAAGAATTACAATTATAATATATGAAAAAATACTGTAGTTTTCCTCCCAAATTACTATGAATTGTTATAATATTTTATCCATATGTTTTTTTTTGTTTTCTTCTAAAATTATCTTTGGAGATTTTATTTCTTTGATGTGAAGCTAGTTGAAAATTAAAATTATAAATAAAACTAAATTATATGGGGTGAATATTATAATTTTTTTTATAAAATATAAATTGTTATAATATTTTTCTATATAATTTTTTATCAAAATATCCTTCTCAAGAAGCCTTCTCGTCGTCTGCTTTTTCTTTAAACTAGCCTTCGCGTCATCTGTTATCTACGTCCCCATCTCGTTCTTTCCACGCCTGCGCACACCTCGTTAGCTGATCATGGCGTTCGCCGGAGTTACAGTGACTTGTCATTCCAGTTATCTACTCCCTCGATTCTCTTCTTGCAACTATTCTTCTATTCCCCTTTTAAGTTTTGGAAGATTCCCATTATTTATTTCTAAGGAATGCTTGAGAGTGAGTGCTTATGCGACCGGGTCAAAATGGGCATCATCACCATCATCTCTGGAGACAAAACAAGGAGTTTGGGAAGATCCTGATGATGGAAGCGGCAGTGATTATGACCAAGAAGATGAAGAAGAAGCGAAAGAAAATGACTTGGATTTTGAGAGTAACTTGGAGGAAGAAAAGAATTCTGTCACAGCTACTTCCACTGTCACTAACTCCACTACAGAAAATAACTACGGGGAGGATCTTATCAAAGGTGGCGTTCACTGTTCTCTTTCCCCCTGTTTTAATAGTGCTATGCTATCATTTTCTCAAGTGGAACATTCCTATTCCTTTAGGGGTGAAATTTTTCTTTACCCAATGAATGAATTTGACGTTGTTCTGTAACCACTGCAGAGGTTGAGCAACTTTTGGGACCAGAAGAGAGAGAAATTTTCCAACAGAATGCATCTCCTAATCTCCGCAAAATATCAACTGTAACCTATGATGATAACGTTTTAGAGCTATTTTCCTTCTGAAATATGTGTTTTTCTTTTTTCATTAAGAAGTAGCGTTTATATATGTTGACTTGCTGCCATTTGCTAGAGCATATGGGCTATGAGAAAAATAGTAGTAAACATGCAAAATCTCCTTTCAGGCAAAATGGAGTCCACTCCAGACCCTTGCTCTATCAGGACAGATAAAATTTATGGACAAGTTGCTTGATGATGGATTAGATATTGATGACCAGGATAATGTGAGTTCATTCCTTTATTGTATTCTGTTTATAGCTTGTACTTTGAGCATAAATCTTAAGTTGAAATTGTTGACATAGGATGGGTTCACGGCATTGCATAAGGCAATTATTGGCAAAAAGGAGGCTGTTATTAGTCATCTTTTAAGAAAAGGTGCTAGTCCACATATCAGAGATCGGGTGAGGTTAATATTTTGATTGTAGCAAGTGTTTTTTGCCCCTGTTCAATTTTGTTTGCATTTCTAAGGAACATTTGTTGCCATTTATTTATCCCTGTAATAGGATGGTGCTAGCCCTCTGCATTATGCAGTTCAAGTTGGTGCAATGCAAACTGTAAAGTTGCTGATAAAATACGAGGTTGATGTCAATGCTGCGGATAATGTCAGTACAAGTTTCCAAATTGTTTCTGAACCCTTTGTTCAATTGATCATATTCTAGTCCCCAGAAATTTTATAACATTTCTTGCAGGAAGGATGGACTCCATTGCACATTGCAGTCCAAAGCAGAAATAGAGATATAGCTAAAGTCTTGTTGGTCAATGGTGCAGATAAGACCAGAAGAACTAAGGTAAATGTTTGCGATTTTATATTTGAAGGAAAAATTGTTCCAAGGAATGCTGAATTGCTTCCTTGTTTTTTCAGGATGGAATGACACCCCTGGATCTTAGCTTATGCTTTGGCAAAGACTTTAGGTCATTTGATATTGCAAAGTTACTGAAGGTTTTACCAGCCAACAGGGAATTATAATGGATGCAGAAACCTTGACAGTAAATACAAGCAGAAGACTATACGAAGCTGCTGTGCATTTCAAGGGCATCGACTATTTTTGTGTATGCAGATTCTGAATGGGTCTGTTCATCTATCGTGTATGAGTTTTATTGGGGTTCAAAACTCCACTGTGTTGTCCAAGAATGAACGTTGCTTTGTAAACCGTGTGACTTGCACGGTGAAGCCCAATCAATCTTTGGGCAAAGTAATTTTGCACCGAGGTGAAGAAGCCTGCTGA